TAGCTTATATATCTTTATTACTATTTTTTTCTCTAACTTCTATAAAAAAAAAAATTAAAAATAAAAAGTTTCTGTTGGGTCCGTTTAGGCCCGTTTGGGCCCGTTTAGGCCCGGGACCAGCCCACTTAACCCGGGCCCGTTAGTTCGTGGTCCCGGTCCCGAGCCGGTTCCAGCAATAAGCCCGCGAAGTCCAGGACCGCATAGGACCGGCCCACTTAGGATCGGGCCCGGCCCACTTGCCACCCCTACTCTGCCCTAAGAAAAGTTTGAGAGAGTTCCTCTCGTCGGTAGCGCGATTTAGGTCGGCCGCGTATCGATGCAGCTCATTCTGGGAATGAGAACATTGTTCTCGATGGACTGCTGCAACCTACGAAGAAACAAGAAGCGAAGTTGACGAAAAAACGAACATAAAGGCAGTACCAACAAAAAGATTTTTAAAGACTCACCTGGTTCAAAGCCTGCCGCAAACCGTGAAAAAGATCCGATTCATCACTGGCAACATCCTCGATACCAGTAAACAGGTCACGAAACAGATCCTCTTCATCGTGAGGCCTGTCTAGATCGAGGGCCCCCAGAGCTTGAGCTTCCCGAATCATCCCTATGGAAAAAGTGGGAAAAGTAGGCGAATCCTCGATCGCTGCTGCCCCAAGTGACTCGCCCGAAGCATCTCCCTCGGCTCAGAGGGGTTCAAGGGGCTCTTCGATTGTGACCCCTGCCGGTTGACTCCGATGAGAGGTGTCTTCGACATTCGATAGTTCGGGGATTCTACCTGAACCTCTCTCCGGTACATTTTCAGTTCGAGACGGAGCCCTATAGGGCATCATCGATCCAGCCGGCAATGAAGCATTGATGGCTCTCTTCGTCTGGACCGCCAGCATGGACTCATTGTCCTCTTCTTCTTCTTCATCCCTTAGGCACAAAACGGATTCTACGGTCAAAGGACTAACATTCTTGTTCAGCTTACGAGCCGTCCTCTTCTTCGGTTTTGGATATTCGGGCAACGAAGCTCTCTTCCTTTTATTTTCCTTCACCGGCCTTGGGACGGAGGTCGAGACATCCTCCTCATTAGACAGAGGTCTCAAGACCGCGTCTTTACCCAAACCTGCATATGGGAAACCTTATAAAAAATATTTCGAGAAATGCCTTGCCAGAGTCCGAGAAATGAGCTTACCGTGATTTTTGGCCTCCTACCGACCCTTAGACAAATTACGCCATGAGCGTTCGGCGTATGTGGAGGTCGAAACAAGAGCCCGTACCCAATTCTTGAGGTCGGAAACCGCTCCGGGCATCCAGGGAACCGCTACATCAGAAAAAGAGGAGTGTCGATAAGAGAATAAATGAAAGAATAAAATATAAGCAACAACAAGATCACACTTACGTTTCATATTCCACTCCTCGGGAAAGGGCATCTTTTCAGTCGGGATCAGGTCCGAAGTCCTCACTCGAACGAACCTGCTCATCCAACCCCGGTCCCTGTCCTTGTTAAAACTCGAGAACAAAGCCTTGGTAGTCCGACGCTGGAGTTTTATTAACCCTCCCCGAAAAGGTCAGGGACGGTACAGCCGGATAAGATGATCGAGGGTGAACGACATCCCCTCGATTTTGCTCACAAAATATCGGATCAGGATAACGATCCGCCACAAAGAAGGATGGACCTGGCCTAAGGTTACCTGATACTGTCGACAGAAGTCGATAACGACGGAATCGAGGGGACCCAAAGTGAAAGGGTAAGTATATACGTTCAAAAACCCTTTCACGTAAGAAGTGATATCTTCGTCAGGGGTAGGTATTATCACTTCTTTTTCGCCCCAATTGCATTCCTTCTGTAACAGATCGAGGTGTTTCTCAGTAATCGAACATATGTACCTCGATACCGGCTCACACCGGCCAGGGACCGATGAACCTTTATCAACTTTAAAATCTGAAGTAAGGACGCACGCCTTGGGACACACTCCTCTGGCCGTGGTTCTGCCGGTGTCTCATCGGCGACACACTGTGAAGAGGATGTTTTCTCTTTCTGAGGAACGGTTTGTGATATTTTCGCCATTTTTGAATTCAAAAGTAAGGAGTAGAAGAAATTGATAGAGATTTGGTAGAATCGAGGGGTCCTTTCGGAAAGAAATCACAGCTTTTCTGGTAAGTTGGAGAGTATAAAGAAGAAATTGAGAGATTTTAGAAGATAGAAGGTGTAAAAATGGTAAAAGATAAAAGTGAGAGTTATTTATAGGTTCAAGCGACGGCGGTTCATTATCAGCAGTGGCCGACCACCACCTGACATGCATTAAATGCCTTGAAACACTAAACCGACGGAACAGCTACCATATGCGTCATGGTCGAACCTGATGGAAGCGAAAAGATATAATCCGATCGAGCTGTTGAAAATCATATCGTTTCTCGCCATATTTCTTTCTGAGAAACGAGGGGACTATCTGTATACGGTCGAAATAAATTTCAGTCTTGGCATGTCCGGTACGGTTCAAAGGGCGGTGTATCGAAGTAAGATCCCGAAGGGGGGCACGAACTAACCTAGAACCCGGGGAAGCCGGTCCATGATGAGATCGATATCATAATCCAACTCGAACAAGAATCAAACTATGATGCGGGTAGATCTATCGTGCTGATAATCCAAAAATCAACCTATATCGACCTGGAATCAATTCAAGGGCTCGAACCAGGGTCGGGCTCAAACCAAGATCATAAATTCGAGCCGAAATCAAGCTCAAACCAAAATCGAGGACTCTAAGCAAGATCGAGCTCGCGGACAAAAGCCGTTGTAATCCCACTAGAGGGAATCTTGGCAGAAATTATGGAAAAACTGATTTAACATGGGTCTCCCACTGAATGTTTATTTTATTATATTTGGAGCCAAATCTCTCCACTATAAAGAGGCTTGGTTATTATTTCTGTAAGGATCTGAGATTTACAATATATCAAAAGTATTATTTCCTCTACAAGAAAGGGTGATCATTACAGTTTCTTAGACTGATTCTATTTTTGTTAAATCCTAAGGTTCACTGTTCATGATTGCCTTGTCCAGATTAATTTTTCTCTAATCTATATTCACATTTTTATTTATCTTTGCATTTTGTGTTAAGTTGTACCACATATCTTCGGAACTGCGTATAAATTCAACTCTATCCATTTTTCGGGTAAACACCCATCTTTTTTAGAAACTTTTCATTTTTGGAGTGATACTTATTTATTTCTTGTCTCCTATTTATAACTTGTTCTGAAATATCATAAGCTGTCTACTATAACAACAACAATAAATCCATATAGTTTTCTTTTTCTTCTTTCAGAAAATTAATTGAATCCATGGCATCGTCTTCTTCTTCTGCAAATGTAGAAAGCTTCAAAGGCCCACTTTTATTTTCACTGTATGCACAAAGAAAATGTAAGGTAGTGCTTTTGATTGGTTATTATCTTCAAATATAATGAGGTCAAGTAGTCATGGTTGTTAGTGACAAAGAAATAACACGGATATTACCTTGCTTTTAGTCATTAACATATTTTACTATTCAAATAAACATGCTTATAATTTGTTGAGTAACGCGTTTTATTTAGGTTATCTTTATTATCTCAGTATGTTGATGTGTATCTAATGATCAATAAAGTAAGATGAAAATCATTAGTTGATTAATTTTTATCTACCTAAATATCCAATAAAATAGTTGAGATGGAACGAGACAATATAATCATATAAAAAATAAAAAATAAACTTCATAGAGAATTATTTTGCTGGAAGAAGACTTTGTCAACCTCCATAGAAAATTAAAATTGAAAAGGAAATTCAATCAACGGGGTCCTTCTTCTCTGTGTTTGTGCGTTGGAGCAATAATTCAATTCAATTGGGATAGGTAAACTCTTTCTTTGTAGCTTGATATATCCACTTGTACTTTTAGCTGTCCATTGATAAGGTGGTGGTCTTTGAAGGAATTACTTCCTTATATTAAAGTTCAAAGAAAACCCAGTAGTAACAATAATAATCCGTGGAACATTGTTCACTAGGGTAGAAGGTATGTAATGCCAATTGATAAAGTGACGTTAAGCATCACTAGCGTACGAAAAGAAGGGTCGTGATAATATCATGTACGTCTGTACTGCTCTTCTAGATGTACTTCTAGCTGTCCATTGAAGGAATTTCCTACTTCCTTCTATTAAAGTTCAAAGAAAGCCCATCTCATACAAACTTTTATTATTTGAAGTGCTAGTAGCTAGTTGTTTATTTCTTTTTCTCCTATTATCATCCGTTGATCTCTTACCATAACTACAATTTATCCACATACAAGTTATTTTCTTTTCAGATAATTAACTGAATCAATGGCATCATCTTCTGCTTCTGCAAGTACTTCACAATTTTCTTAGTGGAACTACAAAGTCTTTCTAAGTTTTAGAGGTGAAGATACTCGAAGGACATTGACAGGTCACCTCTTCAAAGGCTTGGAAAACAGTGGAATATTCACGTTTAAAGATGGTAAAAGGCTAGAGCATGGTGCATCAATATCAGATGAACTCTTGAAAGCTATCGAACAGTCTCAAGTTGCCCTCATCGTTTTCTCAAAGAATTATGCAACATCGAGGTGGTGCTTAGATGAGCTAGTGAAGATCATGGAATGCAAGGATCAATGTGGACAGACTGTCATACCAGTCTTCTATGATGTGGATCCATTACATGTTCGAAACCAGAGGGAGAGCTTTGCTGAAGCCTTTGACAAACACGAAACAAGATATAAGGATGATGATGAAGGAATGCAGAAGCTCCAAAGATGGAGGAGTGCTCTAACTGCTGCCGCAAATCTAAAAGGATATGATGTCCGTGACGGGTGAGTTAAGAACACATAGTAATTTCTTATAATGAAAACAAATGGAATACTACAAAGAGAGGTTTACTCAAGTACTAAGGAATAATTTAGGTTGTGGGTTCAAGTTACTATAGGAGCAAAGTGAGGAGCTCAAAAGGAATAATTTTCCTTCAACTGTGGTTGCTTATGTGAAGAGTACATATTTTACTATAGAAAAAGAATTTGTACCTCAAAAAATGAGTTAAACACAAAAGACACTAAATAAATTTATCATATTTACAAAATAAAAATTAAAAGGTGGAAGCTTAATCAATTTAATTTGTTAAGAATACATCTTACACAATCTAATTCCATTGATTGTCATTTAGACGTTAAAAATGTTTTTATTTTTATTTTCCTAAAAACAAAAAGGAATGATGGTTGTTATATATGTTTCTATCAGTAAGAAGGTATTGTTCCTATCAATATAATTAGAGAGAATAAATAAAAAATATCTTAAGCTATTCACGTTTTTCTATTACCCCAGAAGACACTATAGTTCCTATCACTACAATTCCTCAATAACATTCTTGCACGTATAATATTTTGATTGCTCCTTCAAGCGTTTGTTTTATGTACGGTTTCTTTTAATCATCTCTATGTAAATTAACAATATTTAGTAGATTAGTTTGTTGACTATTTACCTAGTTGATAAGAGTTCGATTCCTTACCTAGCAATCTTCTCTCCCTTTCCCCTACCCTTTATGAAATGCTTACTAATACTTGACTTTCTTACATTTATCCACAATTAATTTTCTTATTTTCGTAGGATTGAAGCAGAAAATATTCAGAAGATTATCGACCAAATTTCCAAATTGTGCAATAGTGCTACTTTGTCTTCTTTGCGAGATGTTGTGGGAATAGAAACTCATTTGGAGAAATTAAAGTCCCTACTTAAGGTAGGAATCAATGATGTTCGGATCATATTGGGGATGTGGGGCATGGGCGGTGTAGGGAAGACGACAATAGCAAGAGCTATTTTTGACACTTTATCTCATCAATTTGAAGCTGCTTGTTTCCTTGCGGATATTAAAGAAAATGAAAAATTACATTCGTTGCAAAATACCCTTCTCTCTAAATTGTTAAGAAGAAAAGATGATTACGTCAATAATAAGCATGATGGGAAGCGGATGATTTCGGATAGACTTTGCTCTAAGAAGGTGCTAATTGTGCTTGATGATATAGGTCATAAAGATCATTTAGAGTATTTAGCAGGTGATATTGGTTGGTTTGGTAATGGCAGTAGGGTTATTGTAACAACTAGAGACAAGCATTTGATAGGGAAGGATGATTCTATATATGAAGTGACTGCACTACCTGATCATGAATCCATTCAATTGTTCCATCAACATGCTTTCAAAAAAGAGGTTCCAGATGAGTGTTTTAAGGAGCTTTCATTGAAGGTAGTAAATTATGCTAAAGGCCTTCCTTTAGCCCTCAAAGTGTGGGGTTCTTTGTTACATAAGAGGGATATAACTGTTTGGAGAAGTGCTATAGAGCAAATGAAAATTAATCCTTACTCGGAAATTGTTGAAAAGCTCAAAATCAGTTATGACGGATTGGAGCCCATCCACCAAGCCCTTCCTTTAGCATTGTCTATTTTTTTAAAATTTAAAATGTCACTACAATTTATTGGTATTGTTTCAATTGCAGTTTCTTTCTATCGCAACATGAAAAACTTATAAACTTGACTCTAATGAACTTCTAAGAAAAATGTAATATTAGAAAATAGAACTATAAAATTAATTGCAAAAAGTATTTCTCTAAAGTAACATCAGTATTTCCTAATGATCTTCTTACCAGGGGACCATGGCAATGGAAGCAATTTGGCTTCATGATAATTTTGGTACACTACGCTTTAGCAATGAGGCCATGAAAAATATGAAAAGGCTTAGGATATTATACATAGAGAGGTGGTCCTGTTATGGTTCCATTGAGTATCTGTCCAACAACTTGCATTGGCTTGTCTTGGATGGCTATCCTTGTGAGTCACTGCCATCTACATTTGAACCCAAAATGCTTGTTCACGTTCAACTCAAACACAATTCACTGCATTATTTATGGATGGAAACAAAGGTACAATAATTGAGTTCTATTTTATTGCCATTTATTTTTCTTTCTAACTATCTTTGTCCTTTAATTTAGTGGTAATGAACAAATATTATTGCTTTTGTCACGTATTATTTGAGGTACTTTCTATTTTTGCTAGAATTACAATGCATGTCTTTAAATGAACAAAAGTTATTAATTCCATAAGCTCAAATTAATGTATTTCCATCTCAAAAAATTATTGTAATTCATAATATTTGGGGTTGTTCCCAGTATTATTGTAAGATCTTTATGCCTTTTGTTTTTCTCCAAGTCTTCACATCATCATTTCAATTATTTCTCATAGTAAGATTAGATTCATATGAATCTCATCCTAGGGATGTACATAGTGGGACGGAAGGAATACTTATTAGTAAAACAAAAGAAATTTATTGCTTTCATACATTGCTTCCAGATTTAACATTTGGGTTTCCCCATTTTATATTACACTTTTTTTAAAGTGAGAAACACTTTTCTCTTTGCTACAAGTTTTTTCAATCATGCTAAATTACAGTTAGCAATATTTTTATTTATAATTCACTTTTATTCAGTTTCTTAACAAGTAATTTTTCATATATAAAAAATAAATTTCTAATTTCGCACAAAAATAATGTGTTGGCCCTCATAATTCAAATGCTATCATTCATTTCTTGTGGAGGGAGTAATAAATACTTTTAGGAAAGGTAGCAAAAAGTAATTAAGAAATCAAGAAAACAGAGGTCATTTGATGCCCACAAATACAAATGAAAAAAACAAAACAAAAAAGGTTTCTACATTCATAGATAGCCCCACTAGCCAAATATTTTATTATTGGAATCCCGCATAGTAGCAAAATAGGTTCTTTTATTTATCCTCTCTCTATCTCATTCTGTGTGTGTTTTGAACAGCATTTGCCGTCACTGAAAAAGCTAATTCTCAGCGGCTCTGGAAACCTGATGCGAACACCAGATTTCAAGGGGATGCCAAATTTGGAGTATTTGGATTTGAGTTTTTGCAGTAATTTTGAAGAGCTTCACGACACCCTGGGATGTTGCAGAAAACTCGTCGAGTTAAATTTGACTTGGTGTGAACGCCTTAAGAGGTTTCCATGTGTTAACGTGGAATCTCTTGAATATCTGAGTTTAGAAAATTGCTCAAGTTTAGAGAAATTTCCAGAAATCCACGGGAGAATGAAGCCGAAGATACAGATTCACATGCTTGGCTCTGGGATAAGGGAACTTCCATCCTCATATTTTCAGTACCAAACTCATATTACCGAGCTAGATTTGAGCTTTATGAGAAACCTTGTAGCTCTTCCAAGCAGCATCTCTAGGTTGAAAAGTTTGGTTAGTCTGAGTGTGTTGGATTGCTCAAAACTGGAAAGCTTGCCAGAAGACATTGGATCCTTATCCTCTTTGAAAGAATTGTATCTCAATGGAAATAATTTTGAACATTTGCCTCGAAGCATAGCCCAACTTGGTGCTCTTCGATCCTTAGACTTATCATATTGCCAGAGGCTTACACAGCTGCCAGAACTTCCCCCTGAATTAAATGAATTACATGTAGATTGTCATATGGCTCTGAAATTTATCCATGATTTAGTAACAAAGAGAAAAAAACTACAGAGGGTGATATTCCCTGATGATGAGGATGATGCACTCGATGATCCTATATATAATTTGTTTGCACATGCCCTGTTTCAGAATATCTCTTCCTTGAGGCATCACATCTCTGCTTCAGATTCCTTGTCCGAAAGTGTGTTTACCATTCTGCATCCTTGGAAGAAGATCCCAAGTTAGTTTCTCTATCAGGGAACGGATAGTAGTGTATTGAAAATTGGTATATACCTGATAATTTCTTGGGATTTGCTGTATGTTACTATGGCAGCTTAATTGACACCACAGCTCAATTGATTTTCGTATGTGATGACGGGATATCGTGGATGACCCGGAAACTTGCCTTATCACCCGACGATTCAGAATGTGATACAGAATCATCCGACGATTCAGAATGGGATACACATTTTTTCTTTTTACCTTTTGCTGGCTTATGGGATACATCTAAGGCAAATGGAAAAACACCAAATGACTATGGGATGATTAGGCTATCTTTTTCTGGAGAAATGAAGGAGTATGGACTTCGTTTGTTGTACAAAGAAGAAGCTGAGGTTGAGGCCTTGTTACAAATGAGGGAAAATAACAATGAACATTCCACTGGGATAAGGAGGACCCGATATAACAATAGTGAACACGACGTCATGATCAATGAAGCCAGCTGCTCCTCGGGTAAGAAACAAAAGAGTCACATTTCCAATTTTCAGGGGAACTCTGTCTTTGAGAATCTGCAGCAACAAGTAGAGTCGCCAGTCTCTTCAGAAATTTTGAGGCTCAATCTTTCATTCCCAGAAATTTTTCCTAGTTGGCGGTGAAATTGTGTTCTCTCCTTTTATGTAATTCTCTCCTTTTATTAGCTACAAAGTCTTCTTCCAAAAACAATACTATATTTGTTTTTGGTAATTAACTTTTTTCATTAATCACAACAAATACTATATTTTTTCTTCTCATTCTTTCTTACTTTTACCTTTTTGTTTTCTTTCCCCTATTTACAGGAACTCATCAATGGGTGATGTACATATCTTGTCTCCGCTTGTTTTGAGCCATGATTAACTATGGTAAGTTAAAGGATTCCAACAAGAATAATTTTTTATGCTCAAATCAGATCCTGGAACCGTGTGATCTTAATCCATTTATTTCCTAAAAGTACTCGATATTCAAGAATTTGAACTTGAAAATTTGTCAACTCTAAAGTGAAAAGATAATACTACAGATTGAGGGAAATGGAGATGAAGTAATAAATAGCCCATTGTTTAAATTATGGATGCCAGAAAGTTAATCATCCATGTTCAAAAGATGTCAAAAGTGCAGGCAACCCATTTTCAAGTCTTGAATGTTAGCTTTCTATGCTAAATTCAAATTTGTATTTTCGACTTGTTCATTTATGATGGTTCTTTTTACAATTTAATTGGCTCTCAATGAAATAAACTATTTTGTATCTTTAATTAGTTACTCATCCTTTTCAGTTAATATCAGCAAAAGGCACACTTAAAGCTCGCTTAAGCCCTAAAGTGAGGCGCAAAACATGTTGAGCGCTTCGCCTCGCTTAGAGGGCGCTTTAATGTCGTCATCAAGACTCTAAGGTATATCTTTCCTTGTCAATGAGCGTAACCTGAAGAGGCAACACTAAATAATTGACAATTCACTTATCATAATTTTGTTTTTTCAATTTCGTTGTCAATATATATGTTATTCATGCGTATAATTATTAATCTTGGACTGCACATACATATTTGTGTTTTTTTCTCCATTTGTGCCTTTTTTTCATTATAAAGCCGACACTTTATTTTTGCTTTACGCTTAAGCCCAAACGAACCTCAGAGCTTTTTTGCGCTTTTTGCATTTGATAACACTGGTTGATATATCATGTTTCATTTGAGAAGATGAATAGTTTAATTCTTATTTCCTTTGTTCATACTGGTTAATCAGAGTCTTTAACAAGGACATGTACCTAAACGTCTTTAGCTCTCTGATTGTTACATTTGGGGAGATCTTTGCTTTACTCTGATTGTTATATTAGGGGGAAATCTCTGTTTTGACTTTTAAATACAAATATCTCTTGTTATGGTAGGGAGGTCGGGAAAAAGATAAAACAATTGGCGCTGCACAGCGTGAGACTATGGAGAAAGCTGAGTACGAGATGAAGTTGAGGTTCGTTCTCCCTTATGATCTCTCTCTGTTCTTTATGGTTGTTTAGGGAAAAAGTGAAAATAAGCAATGGCGGCTTTGTTATTAACTTGCCTATTACAACAGATGAATAACATAATACTAATTTTGTGGTAGATTATTATACCAAATGTTACTTAGAAGCCCGTTCCTCTCAACACTGCTTGCGCTAATTCATCTTGACGAGTACTAAGAAACTCGTCAAGATGGCCAGGAGATGGCAGAAGTTTGCAGCTATGCAGAGGAAGAGGATTTCACTTCCAAGAAATGGTAGTAATGCAGACAGTTGTAGTACATCTTCATCCTCTAGAGCCAGAAAAGGCCATTTTTCTGTCTACACAATTGATCGAAGGCGCTTTGTTATTCCCTTGGCTTACCTTGAAAATGAGGTCATTAGGCAACTTTTAAGCATGTCTGAAGAAGAGTTCGGGCTACCAAGTGGTGGTGCTATTACGTTACCCGGTGATTCGGTCTTCATGGACTGCATCGTTTCACTGATCAAAAAAGGCGTAGCTGCTGCAGATATTCACAAAGCATTGCTTCTATCAATTCCTTCATGTTGCTGTACTTCACCTTCTAATTTGCACCAAGAAAGTGGAAATCAGCAACTTCTTGTTTATTGAGTTATCATCATCATATTTTGTAAATGATAGCTCAAAATAGATGAATTGTACAGCAGCTGAAAAGCAAGCAAATGATAGCATGTATTACAGATGGGAATAGCTTTATGTGAATATATACCAATTTTATTCAAGAAACATAATTTGCACATTAATATAGTAAATAATAAGTGGTTGTAACATGCAACAACAACAACAACAACAACAAAAGATGTTGTAACATGGTAATCGAAAAAAGAAAAGTGCCTTGATCATACAAAAGCAAACACTAAGTAAGTGATTTAGGAGAGATCAAGCTTTCTGTAAAAGCAATTCCATTCTGAACGGTATTACATCGTGGCCATAATTCAAATGGTCCTCTGGATGTACTAAATGAATGCCCAATACGTAGAAAATGCATGGACCAGAATAGGATTTCACCATCCGCAAACCTATATTTTGGGACGACTTTATAAAGCTATGGATCATCTAGAGTAAACAATGCATTCCAAGATTCCTTGACACCGTAGTCTTTCAATACCCATAATTTAAAAGTGCCCTTCGCCTGTCGAATAGAAGCAGAATGATCACAAAGCTTTCCTTCTAGAGATGTTTCCCCTCAAGCATAATATTTGCTCTGCTCCATACGCTTCATTTGAAATACTAAACGAAACCACCGAATGATTTCTTGAAATACCGATCCAATGAAATGCCTCGTATACAAATGCCAAAGAATGCATACCAAACAAACAATTCCAAATGCCACGAGGATGTTTATCAATTTTTCTCGTGGGGTCATCTATGTGATTGCAAATATGTGATTGCAACCTTTCACCAGGTAATATGGGGTCATCTATGTGATTGCAAATTTTAAAGATCTTATTGTCACCACTAGTTGAGTCATAACCCAATCCAAAACAAGAAAATCCATCCAGAGGAAATTCTGGATCAGGAAGTAGTATTGATTCTCTCGCGGAGGGTTGCATAGCAAAAGTATGGAGCGTTCATCACCAATATTATCAGAAACCTCGATAATAATCAAGCCATCGCAACAACAATGGACCGCGCATTGCCTTGGTTTAGAGCTTGAAGGAAAGTCAAGTTTTTGCACATCCTCAGCCAGTTAAACCGACGATAAAGAACAACAATACATGGAAAATATACCATCCTTAAGGCACAGCTGGTTAATAAGAAATTTTTGGGAATTTTGATCATTCTTGGCATGATTGAGATGCTTCATCTTAAAATAAGGTTCGGAGACCAATGGTTTAAAAAAATTTGAAACACACTTGAATCGAAATACTTATTCTTTGTTGGAAACTTCAAGAACAAAAAAGAACAAAAAAGAAAAGGCATAATACCAAGTAGCACCTCAACTTGTCTCCACTTTGTTGTTGAACACTCCAACTTACAAAATGATCATCTAGACACCTCCAAATTTTGTGTGTTATATCAGCATTTGTGTTTACGGGTTCAACTTTATACAAGTTGAAGTGCCTACTTGTACACACCCAAAGTTAGAGGGCATACTTACCAGTTGTGGCCAAGTTTGAGTGTCTGTTTATGTATTATGCCAAAAAGAAAGTATCCACAGCATATCCTGCTGCGAAATGAGCTTCGACTGTAGAAAGATTGACTAGAACGAAGTAAGAAAAACAAACCTCTGCAATGATGCGAGGAGTGACGGTGAGATGCTGTGTAAACCTTATATCTATAGTTTCCAGAACTGCATAAAAGGCACCATGGAGATCTCGAATGTCCTTGGCGACACCGTCTTTTTTTTATCTTGTCATTTTTTATGATTATATAATCCTATATTATCTTTTACCATACCTTTTTATATAATAATATTACCTTGTACCTTACTTTTTATTTATAATATTGCAAGTTTATTCTTCATATTGTTGGTGCATGACATCATAAAACGACGGCCAATAATGCAATCTATCCAAACATTGTATACATCAAAACGATACAGTACAATACAATACAATACTATATGATACATTATGAAACGATAGATTGTATTATTTGCCGGCAAATAAGGTGCCTTATGCAACACGATGCAGAAAATTTATCACTTACGCAAGGAAGCAAGTCATACAGTGCAGGATCCTTCTCCTTCATGATCTCCCTTGACTTAACAAAAGCACGATTAAACAGAAACTCGTACTGATCAAGGTCTTTCTCTACTCATGAATCGCAGTCGAAATCTTTCCTCAACTTAATGGCAGCTTCTTCCAACAGGTGAACCACTCCAACTTTTGGCGAGATGCGCTCAAGAATTTCACAAGCGGCTTGCACAGCATCAAGATGAATTTCAACACTGTAACGTAATTCTAGGTTGTTCCGACTGTCTTCATACTGGGAAGTGGCAGCACGCACAACAGATAGCACGACATGCTGTGTTGTTCCGTGAGATTCGTACATTGCATAAAAACAATTACACTCAAAAAACTTTGTGTTGTCTTTGCACCGTTCAGGGTCCATATTAATCTCATCTTTGGCAGTAGCGCATAACAAAATTAAATCCTAACCCTAGCAAAAAAAAAAAGATATCATAAGCGATTTGGTAGTAATTTAAACATAAATTCATAGCACATGGGGACGAAGATCTAAGTTCAACTCCAAACAAATCATGAGGAAACAACAACGACAACAAACCCAGTGTAATTTCACAAGTGGAGTCTGGAGAGGATAATATGTACGGAGAGCTTACCCTACTTTACGAAGATAGGGAGGTTGTTTCCGGTAAATTATTTATATGAAGTGGGTTCAAGCCAATAGAAGCCCATGTAGATAATTTATATTAAGGGAAAAAAAACCTAAACTTTGTTGGACTTCAGCTTATTAAGGCCCATGACACAGGCCCATTACCGACTTAGCTGGGGTGTATTTATTTGTATTTGATCTTCTGGGCTAAGGCCCAATACAATGTAAAAAACAAATAGGGAGATAAAGAATGTAGTCGGTGGATATTCTAATACAACATAACAGAAATGAGATTTTTCTCTCTCTTTGGTTCCTCTTTCCTCTTATGAACCCTAATCAATTCCTCTTCATATTCAGCTCGATTCACTAGTTTTACATAGTATCAGAGTGGATGATCCGCTAATTCTCTTCTCCCTGTTTTGAGCGGTGTTACCCTCGCTCGCTTTCATCAATTTTTTACTCGGTTGTTGATGTTTGTGGTTCACTCTGTCTCTGGTAGTTTCCTTTCGATTTGCAGGCAGAATTGAGGTCGCAGTTATGTTTTCGTCGTCTGTTGGTGGTATGTGTGATACGTGTGGGTGATTTTGGCTCGAATTGGAACCGATTTCCTCCTCCGTTGCTGACCTAGGGTTTTCTGTTTGGACTTTTGGAATCTACATTCAAGGACGTTTGTTTTCCGATAGCGAAAACATACGGTAATCTCTTTCAATTTTCCTTTCCTTGCATTTGTTATCTGTTTGTGTTGTTGCTTTGACGAAAGTCTTTGACTGTTGCTATGGGAGGTTCTGATGCATCTTCGAGTACTACCACTCCTGACCTATCCAATCTACTCTTTTTACTTTCTTCTGATGTACCTGGTGTATCTCTTGTTAGTGTGCCCTTCTCTGGGACTGGTTTTGGGGGTTGGAGGCGGAATATGATCGTATATTTGTTTGCTAGAAATAAAATAGGATTCATTGATGGGAGTTGTCCGAGGCCAGCTGAGGATACTCCTCAGTTTAAGTAGTGGGATAGGTGTAATAATATGGTTATTTTCTGGTTGACTAATTCCCTATCCCCGGACATAGCTGAGAGTGTTCAATACTCGGATACTGCTGAAAGTATTTGGGGTCAGCTTAATAGAAGATATGGTTCAGTTAGTGAGATTAAGGTGTTTGAGATTAAGCAAGAGATAGCATCTACTCTTCAGGATTCATTGGACATTGCTTCCTATTTCAACAAACTCAAGAAGTTATGGGATGAACTGAGGTTTATGTGCACTAATCACACCAACACTTGCGTTTGTGCTGCTAAACCTGAACTTTAGAAGGAGGAAGAGGAGAACAGATTACACCAATTCCTCATGAGCCTGAATGAGACCTATGTTGGTGTTAGGAGAAACTTGCTCATGATACAACCTCCACCTCCTCTCGATACTGCTTATAGTATCCTCCTCCAAGATGAAAAGCAGAGGCAAATTACTCATAATTCTCATTTCCAGGGTGACGCTGCTTCTTTTCATGTCAATCTGAATAATAAATCTGCCCCTCCTAGACAGTTTGTCCAGAAAGTCAGTTTTGATCAAAACAAGTCTCCTCTTTTATGCAAGTATTGTAAGAAACCTGGACATTTGATCGATAGATGCTATAAGCTCCATGGATTTCCACCAAAATTTAAATTCACCAAAGGTAAACGATCTGCTGCAAATGTTAAGGTACAGAGTTCAGGTGGTGCTTCTGAATCTGGACCAGTTTCCACTAGAGTCCTATTGATTCTAATTCTGTGATTTCTGGCCTGTTTAAGGACCAATATGCTCAGCTCCTGATATTACTTCAGCAACATCACATTACAGAGTCTCTCCCTCAGTCTAGTCTGGTGGCTTCTGCTAATTTTGTTGGTATAGTTCCTTCCCCCGATTGTGTAGGCAAGGTGTCATATGGTGCATGCATGCTAACTAGAGTTCATGAGTACACTTGGATAATAGATTTTGGGGCCACTAATCACATGACTTCTAAGAAAGAACTTCTTTTTGATATTCAGCCTTTAGTTGTCCCTTATTTGGTCACACTTCCTAATGGATACAAAATCAAAGCCACTTGCACTGGTTCTCTTCACTTTCTTTCTTTCACACTTCATCATGTACTTTTTGTCCCTAGTTTCCAACAAAATCTTATCTCTGTTCACAAGCTTGTTGCACAATTGGATTGTCTGGTTCTGTTTAGTAAATTTTTATGTATTCTCATACAAGCCCCTTCACTGAAGAGGCCACTGGAAATTGGTAAACATGATCATGGTCTATACAAGCTTGTGCAGCCATGTCCACAATCTGATTCTACTGTTCTTGCTGCTGCTTGTAATAGTTTTCCTACTTTCTCTTCTACTTCTATGTCTTCCAATTGTAAATACCATTCTCCATTGGCTGCCATTGGAACGGATAATCATTGTACATACCATTCTGATTTGAAT